GTGAGTTGATTACTACATTTAGGAGGAGCTCTTCCTCCTTCCTTCTGTAATTTTCTTATTCTAAATTTAGTTCTTACTCGGGTGTCAACTCTGATTTCGTTAGCGACGATTTCCTGTACGGAGTAGCTCCGAAAGCGTAGGAATGCTTTTTGACCTTACTTTTTGCAAAGTCCTAAATGATTACATGGTAGGATTGTGTCCTCTAGTATAGTCGTAATATAACATTTTCTCACCTGCTAGATGGTTTACCGTCTTCACACGTTGCCTACAATGTTGCCACATACCTTTCTCTGCTGCAAGCATATTTCTGTCTTGGAGGTGACAGTGTCGCGCTTTATCCTGTGGGCTAATATTTCCAAATCGTAGCCACATTGATGAGTTTGGCATCGAGGCTAGCTCATTTCTGCGTACTTAGTATAGCTTTGCATGTCAAGTTTTCTTGTCTATTCTGCTATATAGGAGTGCTTTCTGAGCTGCTAATACGTTTTCGACGGTTATATTTTTAACGATGTTGATTTTAGTCTCAGGGCACAATAACAGCTAAGTACGTGTTGTGAATCTTTTCCTGCTCCAAAACTGTCGTGCTCCTGTAGATATGCTCTTCCTACAAGTACGTTATGAAGTTGCAGAAGCATAAGCTCACTTCTTTGTTCAACGCAATGAAGCCCACATCCTAGCTTGTCCCTTGGCAGGTTGGATGTGAATTCCGTACTTAATTAGTAACTGTCTGATATCATGGTCAATAATTTGGAACTCTTCTCGTTCCAGTTTGTGCACCGAGGTATAATAATTTATTAATCCCATGACGTGCTCAACTACTTTAATAAAGTTCTTGACGTTTAATGCACTGTAACTGACCATCTGGAGGTGATGCTTCTTAGAAACCTGACAATCCACATTGTCATGTTGAGGAGCCTTTCGATACACTCAATCAGATGTGATTAACTAAATCGAACGCTTTTTTAACGTCATACCACGTGATAAGTAACTGATTTCCATGCTCTCTGCATACCGCCAAGTTCAAGAGTGCTCTTTTGCACCTTGAACCTGGGTAGAACCATAGGTCCTGATCCTTTCCATCCAAGTAGATCCGCCTAGTTATTTTATACAGATCTGGATGTAAGGAGGTGTACTTCTTAATGAAGAAGTTGTTGATTCTATCAGTGCCTGCCACTTTCCAGTTATAAACTATTTTCCCAAATTCGGCTTCAGATGGGAAAGTATGATGTACTTTAGAATCTGGAACGAATTCTTCCAGATATTCATTGTGCCGATTATCATCGTCTTCTCCCATTTTCGAGTTCCGCATTGTGGCCCAGAGCTCTCTAGTTTTTTCTGTCCCTACAATTGTGGCTAACAGGTTGTTCCTCAGTTACTTTTCTATAAAACCGCCTTCTGAACAACCAAGTCTGGCATTTTGAATTTTGCAAGCACATCGGGTCCCATAACTTTTTATTTTACTTTCGTAAATCCGCATGGTCTGTCAATATGCTTTAACGCTTCATGATAGTCATGCTTGAGAGCAAGTATGAGGTTCATCTCTTTCATACACTTCTTGGCCTCTTTTAAGTTTTTACCTCTCAGTTTTTCACCGTCCGAAGTCCGTTTTATGAGGGATTTGTGGAGATTCAACAAGCTTACCTTCTTTTCTATGCTTGTTTTTCACTTCGATAGCTTCTTCTCTCGCCTTGTCATCTCTTCGTAGCATTGCTGTGCCACCTGGAACTGCCTTGCAAGATCTGTCATTGACTTGGGGGTTCTGTCATATTCACCCGCCGCTTGGTTCACCGCTCCAAATATAAACGGGTCAAGTTTTTCCGTGATTATTTTCCGCGTCCACTTTGTCTGGTTTATCTCACGTCCCTGTGCCTCTTGCATCAGCACTAGATATTTTTCCTTCACATCTAGATAAACCTTAGACTCGTGCAGCGTGTTTTGCCCGAAGTACAAATCTTGTGTTTTGATACCTTTCGTTAACTTCTCCAAGAACCGTTTCTGCGAACACGGACGTCCTGCAATACTGATGATTACAGCATTTGTTTTTTTCTTCAGTTTGTAATCACGCACCCAAGTTTCTCGCAATACAGGAAACACAATACACAAAGGCCATCCTCCTCTTGGCATCCTCCCGAAACGGTCAAACGGTCATTTGCTTTTTTCACCTTCAGCACTTCACTGGTTAGCTGCTTTGCAGAACCTCGATTCCTCGAGTGATAACTTCAAGCGTAATCATCTTACTGGTTCCTGG